CACATTACCTCCGTACTGGTGCACTTAATGAGATTCATCCCACACGAGTGAGAACAATTCGAGAGAACACGGTGCCACCTGTGTAGTCACGTGAGACTCAACCCAGCCAAGATCTGGGCATCAGGTCATGAAATCAAAACTGGATTCTGCCAAATCAGGCTTTGTCTTGTGCTAATCAACCAGTAAGATGCCTGTAATAAGGGGAACAGAGGGTTGTAGGTGGTGATAATATCTGAATTTATTTTGATCACTCCATAAGACAGGCAGTGTTTGAATCCCCCTGATGCTGTCCTGCTGGTAAATGTGTGTGAAGTTATACAGTCTCTGACCGTGCTCTTGTGGCCTGATTCAAAGCCTGTTGAAGTCAGTGGGCCGCATTCAGTTGAATTCAGTGAGCTTTAAGGCTCTTACGCAATAAATTTGAAAGTAAAGAAAAAATTGCTTTTATGATCTTAAAATGGAAGTATATTTCCCTATTTGCTTTGTGTACGCAATTTTGCTTATAAATTATAATTTGTTATCTTCAGGATGTCAATATACTTCCCCTTAGTTGTGTTTTCTAATCAAATTTTTAATCAATTGTCTGAATAGAACCTTTCACTCTGAACAGTCTTAATTAACGAGAGTCGTTAGCCAGCTCCCTTTTTAATGAGCTATATTAATCTGCTTACAGGTTTCCAAATGGAATTTAATCAGTTTACGTTGTAACAAATTACATGGGCAATTTTCTTTTCTGGTCTGTTTGTTTCTTTTACTCAGAGCTCCTGTTCTGAATATTTTATAAACATAGATGATGTGATTCATGTTCTAGCACTGTGTTTTAATAGGATGTTTAAGGTTATATCCCAATACAGACAAGAGTTTTCTTTAAAAAAAGAAAAGCAGAAGGTAGTCATGACCTTGAAAGCAATCTTTACCTTATACAGTGTAAAATCTTTGGGGCTGTCAATAAAAGCTGGTTTGCCATTACAAAAAGCAAGTATTCTATTAAAAAATGTGTAAAGTTTTGAAAGGTCTTTATTACAACAGTAGCCTTTAATAAGGCTGGACTTGTGAGGTTAATTGCTTTGGTCCAGCAACACTTTCTTAATATAACTTATCTCCCAAAAATAGTTATATTAAACCTCTTTAAAGTTGAATGAAATATTTCAAATTCATTAAAGTTTTTACTTAAAGAGATTGAAAAATCATAATACCAAATAGTGAGGTACATCTTAATACTCGGAGGGATGAAAAAAAACATTCAACTATAAGAAAAACATGCAACTGTCAGAAAATTGAAGTGGAAGCACACTTAGAACAAAGAGAAATCACTATATATAGTTACATTTTATTATCCTTTTAAGATTATGAGGAGCAGGGTGACTGAGGATTTGATTTCATGAATCTAGTTCACTGAGAGAGCCCAATGATTATCCCACTGTGCCAAGAAATTAAGCTGATCAAAATTTAATCAGGTTCTGATGGAAAATGCAATACAAATAATGCATTTTTATGTTCAATTTGTAGTGAAAACTGCTGCAGTGCTCTTGGTAACATGTATTGTGTGATGTTACAGAATGTTGGCCATGTATATCTTAATTATCATCCCACTGACATTTTCTTATACTAATCTTTTATGCATAGATTTGAGAAATACTCATTATTCTTGAAGAGTTTAAAGCTTGATCTAACCTCCATTCAAGTCAATGGAAGCTCTCCTGTTGACTTCAGTGTGAGTTAGAGTGGTCCTCTAGCTTTTCTGGGCTCAAGAGATTTCTAATAATACTTTTTTGTTTTCTGTTTCATTGATGTGACATAAGGCACCTGATCTGAGCACTGAATTTTTCGATATACTGTAGTAATATTGTAAAATACACCAAAAGGTTATGATTAACAAATTATTATGATTAAAAGCTCCAGTTTAGAAAAGCACTTTATCACATGACTCACTCAAACCATGTACTTATCCTGTTATCAAATTTAGTAGAACATAAATGCATGTTTAAAGTTAAGTGTGCTTTCCTGAATAGGAATGCTTTCCTGAACCACATCCTCCCCTGGTGCACTGTCACTATATTTATCTGGATGACCATAGGTACTGGCAATTGCATCTCCTATTTCCCACGGATTGTCATTCCTGGCCAATGGGAGCAGCAGGAAGCAGGAAGCGGTGCAGACTGGGATACTGCTTCCCGCAACTCTCTTTGGCGAGGAACAGTGATCTTCAGCCATCGGGAGCTGCAATCACTGGTACCTATCAGGGTTAGCTCCTGGCGGGCCCCCTCCACTGTATTCACTTGCATGGCTGCAGGTGTAATCCACACACCTAGTGTGGTTTACTGTCCCATGTAGTGAGCGTTGCAGCCTAAACTGAGAGCCAGCTGGCTTTACAGCTCAATTTGTAGAGGCTTCTACACTAAGCTCCAGAGATCCCAGGTTCAGGTCCACCTGCTGATGGTTACAAGTGGTGGAGCTGCTGGGAAGCCTCTACAGCTTGAGCTATAAAGCCAGTTTGCTCTCAGTTTAGGTTGCAGAGCTCACTTGTTCTTATCTCTTGCTGTAAGTGGTCTAAATGCCACCACATGGGATATTGAACCACACTAGGTGTGTGGGTTACACCTGCAGCCATGCAGGTGAATACAGTGGTGGGGGCCTGCCAGGAGCTAACCCTGATGGACCAGATCTGGCTTGTGGGCTGGTATTTGCCCAACCCTGTCCTACGTGCTGTTCTGTCCAGGACATAAGCGCAGACAGTGTGTCCCTGTCCTGCAGTGGGTTCTGCTAGTGTGACTCCATGTTGGCATAAGGGTGCCTTCTAGCAGCTCTCATTGGGGGATAGGAGCAAGAGTTCCTCTAAGCTGCATGGCAGCATGGCCCTACAGCTGCTTAAGCAGCTCAATGCACGGAGCTCTGAGCCCCTGGATGGCTGGGGCTGATTAAGCAGCTGCAGGTCAGTGCTGCTTCGCAGCTTAGAGGGAACCTTGGATAGGAGCCAGAGGGTTCATCTACATGGCAAAAAATAACCAAACAGAAAAGCAGGTGAAGCTAGTCTCAGAGCCCAAGTCAACTGTCTTAGGCTTCTGGAGCAGGGCTAAAAGGAGCAATGTAAATATTACTGTTCCATCGGGGCCTGGCTTAGAGGCCCTGCCTCCCTCTCTCAGGTTTCAGACCCTGGACTCTACACTGCTATTTTTAGTCCCTTAGCAGGAGCCTTGTAAGCATACCAGGTAGATGTACCATAGAGACAAACAGAGAGAAGATGGAATGCATACTGGAAAATCCACAGAAGGAAAACTGTATAGGTAATAGGTTTGTTGAGTTTTTATATTTGTTGGTGGTTTTATAGTTGGTTTCTTGGGAGCATCCTGGAAGAAGTGAATTTTTGATATCCTGTTTAGTGTAGAGTTGTAAAAGAGAAAATGTAGTTAGATATTGTAAAAATTACTTGCTGTGACTTACTAGCAAATGCTAGAATAAAACAGATTTACAACATTGTTGCAAACGTCTGTTGGTGACTAATGCTCATGAGTATTTTACATAGAGTATGCAGTCCTCTTTATTCTATTCTTTAATACTGAGATAAGTGTACTAAATGTTTTCTTTCCTGTGTAATTTGATTATAAAAAACTAATCCTCAAACAGTATCAAAATGACAACTTGAAACTTTAGCCACAAGGGAAGATTATTGCTCTTGATAAGAATTCAGCATTTGCTACCAACTGATAATCTTTTCATATTATTTTAAACACTTTAAAAAACAAATTTACCAAAAGCAGAACAGCAATTTAAAGACCCAGAATACAATTATCAGACATGACAATACTGTAATAATCTCAGAAAAGAATACAAAATAAGTTGCTCTCTTAGGACATGTGGAAGGGAATCCCCTTTTTAAAGACAGGGGACTGCATCATGAAATATCTTTTTAAAAAAAGGTATCATGAGCTTTTGTGGGCATAACCCACTTCTTCAGATGACTGGAGTATTAAAATCCAGATCCAAGACTTTTAATACTCCAGTCATCTGAAGAAGTGGGTTATGCCCACAAAAGCTCATGATACCTTTTTTTAAAAAGATATTTCATGATGCAGTCCCCTGTCTGGTTAAAATTCACATTGATTTAAATGAGACTTGAGCTGCAATGGGATTTCAGGTTCTAGTTCTAAACAAAGTGCCCAGCTGTTCAACACATACAGTTTATAGGGCTTTAGAGATTTTTGCTATAGCGTTTGTTGGGAGCAGGATGGAATTCTTTAGACACTGATCCTGCAGACAGTCCTAGGTGTGCTTAAGTTCAGTTGGGCAGCTGGCATGCTGAATAGTAATCCGTTGCAGAAGTGCCTGTCAATTTGAGGAGGAGGGAATTAGTTGTTTGGAATTTGGGAGGGGGGGGGGCTTACTGTGGTATAGCTTTATGAGTTCATCTCACTCTGGCATGGATTAATTTACAACTGTTTAGAAATAGACTTCAGTAAAGAAGATTAGTGAAATTATTGTTGACAGTCCATATAAAAAAATGCTCCAGCACTTTTTAAATCCTTGTGCTTTCATAACTAAACATCTTGAATAGACAGCTAAGCTAAGAAAAAGAAAATTTTAATGGTCTTAGTTTACTTTTTTTTAACATAGTTACCACCAGGAAGGGGAGCCATTTTCATGACACTGAGTCTTTTCCATATATTTATCTTGAAATTTTTTTCTCTTTAATTTAGGATGCCATTTTCATGCTGAAAAAAACAGTATGAATAATCCCCATTAAAGTAGGTAGAGATTGTTCTAGTTATTTGGAATTGTATACTTAAATCCAGAAGACAGATTATATAAATGAGTAAGCATGAAATTCTGCTTTTTTGCATCAACATAAATATGAATTAGTTTAACTATCTTAAATCAGAATTTGGCCCTTTTTTAATTCACTCCCTCCAGTAGAAGTATTTATTTACTTCTGTGTGGCTGAAATTTCACCTCTTGTAAAACTATGTATATAATTTTTCTGTTATTGTTTGATCTAATTTCAGGTTATGGGATGATGGAATTATTGACCCAGCTAATACAAGACTTGTTTTAGGCCTGAGTCTCAGTGCAGCACTAAATGCACCTACCAAGAGGACAGAATTTGGAGTTTTCAGGATGTGATCTAAATGGCTTTTCAGAACATCCTGGTACATTTTTAATCAGATAAAGATCAAATATACACAATTTATTCTGAAAAGTTTATAACAATTTTCACACCATGCTTGAGTATTTTTAGTATAATCTGGGATTGTGCATACATTATGTCTGTAATACTGAATCTTGCATTTGGATGAATAAATTGTAACCAACAGCATTAAATTAGATCTGTTTGTTAGAGAAGCACTGCCATAATATCTTTTAACTATTAAAATTATGTCCATGAAATGAGCTCTGTTCCTGTCTGTGTTTTCTCCTTTAAAGTCCACATTTTACCTCCAAAATGTAGAAGTTATTCATACAGTGAGAGAAACCACACCCTTCTGATGCTACTCTTCTGCAAAGAGAATTAGTGAAGACACTCATTGAGCACAAGACTGCATGAAATTGTATACTGTGTACTTATTAATCATCAGCATTCTGGCTTTGGTTTTTTTTTCTCCAACATACATTACTTTTCTTTATTATCACCTGAAATCAAAACATGTATCAATTAATCTGATGGATGCTAGCCAAAATGCATTAACCTTGTTGGGAGAGGTACAAATAGCACATTGGTGACAGAGTTGTTGAGTTCTCAGCACTTTTGAAAATTGAACCATCATCTCAGGTGCCTTAGACCCCTTCCTGGCAGTGTGATCCTCCTGGGGAATTTGTGGTTCCATATGTGCTCAGCAGTCTGCCCACCTGGCTCACTATGCCAAACTTTAAATAAATGCTTAAATCTCATTGACTTTAATGGGTTTAAGCATATGCTTAAATGCTTTGTTGAATCAGAGCTTAACATTTCAGTGTAATGTGATACTTTGTTAGAGTTCTAAGGCTAACATATTTTTATGTATCTTTAATCAAATGTAGCTTGCAGAGCTTGAATGTCAAGCATGGCAATTGCTCTTTCCAGAGTTAGGGATTGAAGATTTTGCCATGTGTCACTGAAAAAGTAATTTTTCCTTAGCTTGGTACTCAGAATGTCCAAACTCAGATAGCTGAATGCCAAATAAGGTAACAAGTGCTGCTACTTATGATTGGAGACCAAATACCTGCATAACTCAGCTACTCAGATGCTGATTCTCTCTAGTCCTTCCTTTGGCCTAGAAAGATTGCCATCTAGAAAAAAATACCAGGAGAGTGTGTCAGTGCTGTCTTTCTCTTGATTATAAAGGAGACAAGTTCCCCTGGTTCCAGTAGAATGAAGGAAAGAAATTCACCTGGCTATCCCTCATCTAGACTCTGTAGGGAATGAAACAGGAAGGTTATCTGGAGAAGTGGACGGTCATTGAAATGGACCTGAATATTGAATACAGGCAGTCCCCGGGTTACATGGATCCGACTTACATCGGATCCCTACTTACAAACGGGGTGAGGCAATCCCGCACTAGCTGCTTCCCCCCAGCAGACCAGGGAGACGCGAAGCTAGCTCCCCCCCCAGCAGACCAGGGAGACGTGGAGCGGCTTTTCTCAGCAGACACCTCAGCTTGAGAATAAAGGACTGAGGGAAGTGAGGTGTGGGAGAATAAAACTGAGCTCTGGAGAAATGTTTGGCTAGAGTTTCCTCTACAATATGTACCAGTTCCGACTTACATACAAATTCAACTTAAGAACAAACCTACAGTCCCTATCTTGTACGTAACCCGGGGACTGCCTGTACATGTAAGCAAGCAACAGGCCAAATATTAGGTCCCATGCATAGCCCCGCTTTGCACAAAAGTCTCCCATTTTTACCTGTGTCTGTGAAGCTGTCTACACAGCAGCATTATTTTGGAATAACTGACATTATTCCAAAATAACAAAGAGCATGTCTATGCTGGAAGTCATTATTTTGAAATAGTGGCGAGCTGGAAGACTTCTTACTCTGACTCCTATAATCCTCATTTCACAAGAAGTAAGAGAAGTCAAAGGAATAGTGTTCTTCCTTTGACTTCCTGCTGTGTAGACAGTGCCAAAAGCTGAATTAAGCTATTTCGACTTCAGCTATGCAATTGACGTAGTTCAAGTTGCGTAGCTTAGTTTGACTTTTGTCCTGCTGTGTAGACATGCCCTAAGTGATCAGATATCAATTCCTTCTGTTCTGTAAGAAGTTTTTCATTCTGCTTCATTAAAAGGTTTTTTCCACAGCAGTGGATATGTCCTCTCAATGCCATACCAATGTGGACATTCCTCATACTGTGTTTCGACTCTCACGTGTAGAGTTATAAGAGGTATATTTTAGTAGTTAAAACTTCACTAGGGCAAAGAGCTGTATTTTGTTATTTATTCTTGTACTCGATATTGCATAGCAAAGTTTTATAACTGGGGTTGGAAGTACTCTGCCCCAGGCAGCTTGCTTCTGAATATATGGAGGGGTTCTCCTGAAACCCCTATGAAAGTAGCAGCAAGACTGTATATAAAATAAAACCAACCAGCCGTTCCTGAAAATGAAAGCGAAGGAGAATATATATCACCAATGATTGCTCAAATAACTACATTACTTGAGGCTTTCAAGTTCTTGCCTCCTTTTTACTATTTCAGTCAGATGATCTGTCATTTAGCGACCTGATCTGGTAGACCAGAGATTTAAACAGCAAGGAATTACTTTGGCATAATATACTATGCACAGAAGTATTCTCACAGAGAGAATAGTAATGAAATAATTCTGAGTAATCAATAATCTTGAGATATAGCTAATGAAAGTGGATACGTTTATATGGATTCATGCCTCAGAGAATGTTCCCTTCCTGTTGCTTGTTATAATGTGAAGGAAGAGTTATTTACTTTTGCTGCGGTATCTTCAGGCTAATATATGTGTAACCTCAAGTCAAAACATATCTCTGGATAAATGGGACTGTTTGATTCTAATAAAACATATCTCTTGAAATAAGCCCGCCATAGAATTAATCAGCACAAGCTTTGGCAAGCCCCACCAACATCTGTCTGTTGAGAGGAAGACATGAACTTTCCCTGAACACTAATTAAATAATTATCATTTCCCCACAATGTGTAAAACTGCTTCTTAGATAATCTTTTCATATTAGCATCATGTAGTTTGTACATGGACATTTATTTCACACTGGATAGAAAATGAAATAACTGACAGATGAGCCACCACAGAGTGCAGTCAGAGACTACTGGCTATGAAACTTGAGGTGTTATAACATTTGATGTTGTTATGGAACATGTTTACACTGATCCTGATCCTCTGTTATTTAAATACTTAAATATTTTAATTATTTAAATTTGCATGGAAATTAATGTAGCTGGGGTGCAAAGAACATGAGCTCATGAAATTAAGCAGTAAAGAAATTAGTTTTGTACAAGAGATGGCTGACAAATATGACAGCCATTGTTTGCCTTTCAGTCATCCCTTGGGAGAGTTCTGTTAGTGGATGACAGCTTTAAAATGTAAGTATATAAACACAGGAGTCCCACTAGCAGAGGGCACTAGGTAGAGTCGATTGGAAACTTTTCAGTCAAACATATTTTTTTGTACACAAAAATACTATTGTCAAAATCAAAATTTAGAAAATACATGTTGATTTTGATGAAATTTCAGTTGGGAAAAAATGACATTTCAATTTTTTTTCAAAATGAAATGCTTTGTAAAATATTAAGAGCAACATTTAGAAGAAAATCACAGCTGGAATGTATCGTTTCCATTTTATCAAAACAAAATGTTTTGATTGACCCAAAACAAAAGTTGGAATGCTATTTCATGAGAAATTTTGAATTTTTGGGGTTTAGTTCCATTTTGGATCCCCCTTCCTCTGAAATTGTGGAATTTCCCAGAAATTTCCACATTCTCTAGTACCAGGTTCTTATAGGAAACTGAAAAGTATTCACTTACCCAATATTAAATCCCTCCCCATTCCCCACATATTTGTAACAGATTAAGTCTTTTGGAACAAAAAACAGGACTATGTAGCACTTTAAAGACTAACAAGATGGTTTATTAGGTGATGAGCTTTCGTGGGCCAGACCCACTTCCTCAGATCAAATAGTGGAAGAAAATTGTCACAACCATATATATCTTAGGATATATATGTGTATATATATATATATGTATATATATATATATATATACACACACACACACACACACCAAAGGATATATTGTATCCTTTGGTATATATGGTTGTGACCATTTTCTTCCACTATTTGAGCTGAGGAAGTGGGTCTGGCCCACGAAAGCTCATCACCTAATAAACCATCTTGTTAGTCTTTAAAGTGCTACATAGTCCTGTTTTTTGTTCCAAAAGACTTAATCTGTTACAAATATGTGGGGAATGGGGAGGGATTTAATCCTGCCCTAAGAGCCTGAGTGGCTGTTTGGAAGATTAAAGCAGGACTTAAAAAATGGAGATACCTATCTCCTATAACCAGAAGGGACCTTGAAAGGTCATTGAGTCCAGTCTCCTGCCTTCAAAGCAGGACCAAGTACCATCCCTGACAGATTTTGCTCCAGATCCCTAAATGGCCTTCTCAAAGATTGAGCTCACAATCCTGGGTTTAGTAGGCCAATGCTCAAACCACTGAGCTATCCTTCTACCTCCTTAGTTGACTTAATTGGTGCATAGACTCTCTTTCTTGCTTGCCTCTGTTCGCAATTAATTATTCAATCACAACAACCCTTAATTTAAAATAAATTTCCTTTGCTTTTGTAGATTTCAGTGATTTAATACATGTTACTGTGCTGATTCAGGAAGCCAATAGAATAACAGTTTAGTTTAAAGGTTTTTTTTAAAATGTAGGTGTCTTGATTAATTTGGAAAACACTTAAGCAAGCCCATTTGTGTTCAGCAAAACATTGAAGCATGTGCTTAAAGCTACATGTCTACTTTCAAGGCTCTGATTTAGCAAAACACTTGATCATATGCTTAACTTTTATCTTTAAGACTCATTCTTAAAAACAAGTCCAGCTGTGTATGTACTTCAAGCAAAAGAGTAGAATAATATGCTTGCATCCAAACTACTGAATAAATATTGTTACTTTGATTTCTGCTTTAAGATATTAGGATTGTACAGCAGAAATCTGCATTATTTTCTAACTGAAGAGGTTTAGGAAATGAACTTGGTATCTAAAAAGCTGATAGTCATTACATGTATTTCCTATTCAGATTTTATCTGCAATGAGTGTAGAACATGAGGATGTTTGAGTGACTGATATTTCTGAAGATTAGTATTTGATAATGAAAGGCATGTAGTCCTGCCTCTCCTTATTGATTTAATGCTAAGTACCTGGCGATAAGGAGGTCTGTGATGCTATAACACTCAACTGCATTTTTAGCGATAGGACTCATTAGGTCTTGATACAGTGCCAGAAACTGCTTACCATATTTGTGGAAGAATGACATTTACATTATTTTTGCACTGGGGTTTCTGTGGCTTATGCAATTTTTATGCTTGTTGATTATTTTATTTGGTATTTTCTATATATGCATTCTCTTGAACTTTGCACTCTTGAATTTTTATTGTGGTAGATGTGCAAGATGTACAAAAATAGCTGAGTATGAATCTAGACACAGCAGTAGGTTATATTGTAATTATAGATTTGGAGCAAGTAATAATCTTGAATGTGGAGAAAAATGAATAATAATTTCAATTTTTAAAATAAAGTGCAAGTCCCTAACCTGAATATATTGCAGAGCTTTTAAAATTCTTTTAAGAAAAAAAAAGCTGAGGTTTTGGGATTTTGGCCACCTCCCTCTTTTGTATTAATCACATCAAATGTTTGTTTTCAGTACAGGTCAAGCTTTACTCTTAGGCTGAATCTATCTAGACTGGCATAATTTTGCGCAAATGATTTGCTTTAGCGCAAAAGCATCCATGCCAATGCAGACGCTCTCTTGTGCAAGAAAGCTCGGATGGCCATTTTAGCCATCGGGCTTTCTTGCGCAAGAAATTAACGTTGCTGTCTACACTGGCCCTCTTGCACAAGAATACTTGTGCAAGAGGGCTTATCCCTGAGCGGGAGCGTCAGAGTATTTGCACAAGAACCACTGATTTTGTACATTACAAAGTCAGTGTTCTTGTGCAAATACTCGCGGCCAGTGTAGACAGGCGCAAGATTTTGCACAAAAGCAGCTGCTTTTGCACAAAATCATGCCAGTCTAGATGCAGACGATTCGGGTATGTCTGCACAATAGAGGAAGATCGAAGCTGTCACTGTCAATCTTCCAGGATTCAGATTAAGGATCTAGTTAAGACAGCTAATTCAAAGTGAGGGGGGCACTCTGGTCAATGCCAGTAACCCTGCTTTCACAAAGAGTAAGGGAAGTTGAAGGAAGAGTGTTATTCCTTCAACTTCCTGCAGTATAGACAGCGACAAAAGTTGAGTTAAGCTACTTTGACTTCAGCTACGCAATTAAGATAGCTCTGTCCTGTAGTGTAGACATACCCCTAGATTGGTAGCTAAAGGACAGCTTAAGTTTTAATATTTTTACAGGGGTAAGAAAACAAAGAATCAAAATCACAGCCTATCTGTACATGATGGTCTGAGGCTTTGTTTTTGAGCTCAGGCTTTTAGCTAAGCAACAGGACAGCCATAAGCTGGGAAACCAATCTTGGCCCATTCCAAGACAGTCATATTGAAAGAACTTAAAAATTTCAGCAGACAAAGTTGCCATCAACATGGCTACGTCTACACTGGCATGATTTTCCGGAAATGCTTTTAACGGAAAAGTTTTCCATTAAAAGCATTTCCAGAAAAGCACGTCTAGATTGGCAGGATGCTTTTCCGCAAAAACAGACCATTTTTGTGATCGGGGCTTTTTTGCGGAAAACAAATCTCTGCTGTCTACACTGGCCCTTTTGCGCAAAAGTTTTTCGGAAAATGACTTTTGCCCGAACGGGAGCAGCATAGTATTTCTGCAAAAGCACTGACAATCTTACATGAGATCGTCAATGCTTTTGCGGAAATTCAAGCAGCCAGTGTAGACAGCTGGCAAGTTTTTCTGCAAAAGCAGATGATTTTGCGGAAAAACTTGCCAGTCTAGACACAGCCTCTATGTTTTGTTAATCTTTTAAGGTTCTGCAAGACTATTTGTTGTTTTTTAAGTTTTTCCAGTTACAGACTAACTCAGCTAACTCTCTGAAGATATTGAAATAAGGCAATTTTGGAGTTGTTAGAAAGGCCATCTAATCTGTCACCTCCAGATAAAGGGAAAAGCCTAACATATTTAAAGGAAACTTAGGATGATAGCTTTCTGTCTGGCAAGGACTTACTTATCAATAGCTGGGGTTGTGAAATCCTCATTGTTTTGTCATTATGCTCCCCATCTCTATTTATCTGTCTGGTTTTTTGATTGTTTCTGTCTCCTGTATAATTAATTTTGTTGGGTGTAAACCAGTTAAGGTGGTGGGATATAATTGGTTAGATAATTACGTTCCGGTATCAGAAGGATAGCCACGTTAGTCTGTAACTTTAAAATAACCAGTAGTCCTGTGGTACCTTAGAGACTAGCAAAAATACATAGTATCATGAACTAATTAAGGGGGCTGGATGTGTCCCATTCAAAGCTTTTGACATGAAAATGTGGATTTTAAAGGCAAGAGAAATTGGCTTTGTAATGCATGAACCAGTTAATGTATTTATTCAAGCCCAAGGTAATAATTCATCAAATTATCCTTTTCCACCAGCAGTGATGATTTTAGCTGATATTCTTACTCCTGAGGGTGACAGAGATGGAAAGAGAACAATTGTTGTTGTTGTTGTCAGAGTGTGTCCTGGGACCATATGTTGTTAGAATGTATACTTCTGTAGTGCTGGCTGGAGTAATCTCTTGGTGGCATTGCAATGTTCTGCCATAGTAGAAGAAATAAGGCAGATCTCCCTAGAAACCTTTGGCAGAGGATTGCAGACTACCTCCATGACAGTTTCAGTGAGCTCTCTATGGAGAATTCATGGGACATCCTGGTGCACATACATTGCTGAAAAGCAGATAACAATGGTACTGTTTGGTTGTTCCACTACCTCTTTTAGCACAAGTAAAAACTGTAATCAACAGATGTGACTGCTACTCTGAAGGTTCTAGCCCTATAATTTAAAAACAAACTACATCCTTCCCCAGCATTAGGCTCACCCATGCTTGACTGGTGGGACTGCAGTGAGGTCAGAAACATGTCCTGGTTCACTGCACAGCTAGATCCACTAAGTTGCTTGTCCCCCATACTCCTCTTCCTTGCTGTTCATTGTGCAGAGTCTGGGGCAAACCCCTTTGCAGTATCCATGGTGAGGTCTCTGCAGCTTTGCAAAAGATTGATTGTTGGTCTCCTTTTTCTGCTGGCACACCTGCTGCAGTTCCTTAGCTTTTAAGCAGCACTGCTGCTGGTCCCTCTTATAGCCTTTCTCTGAAATGTTGACATTTTTATGGCTCGATCAGACCTCTGCCTGCACAGCCTCCTCTCTCCACAAACCAAGAAGATCCAGCACCTATTTACTACAGGCAAGAGCATTCTGCAGCATGGTCAGCTGGGCAGTTGCTAGGTGTGCTCCCCACACGAGGAAATCAGGAAAAGGAACTTCAAGGCTAGTAAGGGTGCAACTCATCAGCACCCTAACCTCGAAATAAGATACACAATTTGTGTAATGCAAATTGTGTAGCTTATTTTGAGTCTATTTTGAAATAACACACTATTTCGAGCCATTCCTTAACCCTTGTTCAAAGAGATTTACAGGGATGGTGAAATAATGCACCTGTTATTTTGAAAAATATTTCAAAATGACAGGTGCATTTCTAAGACGCGGGGTAGCTATTTTGAGATACCTTGGTATCCTGAAATATATCCGCTGTGTAGATGTACCCTAACAGTTCATTTAAGTATCTCTGTGACAACACTGACACTGCATTGACTAACTACTTCAACCTTAACTTTACACCATTTGGGGAGATGCTGTTATTAAGTTGGTGTAGCAGGACAGTTACATCTGCAGGAGTGAAATTTTAAGTCTAGACACATCCAGTTAGGTTGACATAAGTGATCTTGTGTGGACTTAACCACGCAGTGTAGATCAGACCTTAACTTTCCCATTCCAACCAAAACCCAATATCCTAACCCCCCAAACCTTTTTAGAGGCAAAAACTGCTTATGTGCTAGTGCAGGGAATGCCCTCCCAGAAGTGAGAGAGCAAGATGCTAGCCATATTTTTGAGCCCCCATGTCTGCTGCAAGGCCTGCAAGAAGTCAGTAAATGAATGAAGACTGTATTGAGAGGCAGTCAGGGATAGAGAAAATTATATATTTAAAACAAACAGAAAAAGACAAATATCCTTTAAAATTATAGCCTTCTCCCCTGTCACAGATGAATTAAGACTCTCAATGTGAATCTTTATGGCAGAGCATATATATAGGCTTTCCACAAGACCCCTGTCTCATTCAGTGCACTGATAGATCACGCTGTAAAACAGGGTTGAGTAGGGATGGAAGCATTTGGCTACAGGATCCCTGCCTTATTGTGAATGATGCAGAGGCTGCAAGAAGAGAAAAAACGGTCTTATGAGTAAGGCAGTTGAAGGCTGGCCTGGAGAATTGCATTATCTCTCTGCCTCTGCCAGATAGTTCCTATGTGGTGTTGGATAGTTCAGTCACTTAAACTAAACTTTTCACACCTGGGTATTAACTGCATGTTCTTCATTTTATGGCTGTCCAATGTAAAACTTTGGGAAAGTCACCAGCCAGCAAACCTGGGCAATAGTGTGTTTGAATAAAAGCTGCACCGACACAAAATCACCGTGCAGAGAGTCTGTATCCCTTGTTAGTGAGAGCTTTCTAGTCACTTCATGGGTACCTCGCGGCAGGAGCCCCGAGCAGAAACCTGCTGCTTTAGACACCCACGGACTTCGACAAATATTTTGAAAAATCTGATGTTTCCTTTAGATTTTCCTCCAATTCCCTTGGCCCCCCAACTCGCTTTCCCTCTGGGCTCCAGGGGTCAGGCGGGAACTCGCATAGCTCTGGGTGGCCAGGGGGGACCCAGACAAGCCACTCAGGACAGGCTTGTGGCTTGCCCCTGAGCTCCCTACCCGGCTGGAGGCTGAGGTCATTGCCTGCAGCCAGGAGCGTTCTCCAGCAGGGCTCGCTGCCAGCGCCGGAGCCCGGGAGGGGGCCATTGACGTAGCGCGGTGCAAGGGCTCTGGTAACAGGTGACCTCCCCCCCACTCCCCGCCCCGCGCGCTCTATAAAGGGGCCTGGCGGCTCCACTGCGCTTCAGCACCATGGAGAGCGCCCCTTCCGGGAGCTCCGTGGCTGGGGCCCCAGGGGCAGCAGGCAGCCCCCGGCGCTCTCACCCTTTGTGTGTCCGCAGATCGAGGCGCTGCAGGAGGTGTTGGAGAAGCTGAAGAGCAAGCGGATCCCCATTTACGAGAAGAAGTTCGGCCAAGTCCCCATGGTGAGTGAGTGCGGATCCGAGCCACGCCTCGGGCGCCAGAACATGTGGAGCTCCGTGGCTGGGGCCCCAGGGGCAGCAGGCAGCCCCCGGCGCTCTCACCCTTTGTGTGTCCGCAGATCGAGGCGCTGCAGGAGGTGTTGGAGAAGCTGAAGAGCAAGCGGATCCCCATTTACGAGAAGAAGTTCGGCCAAGTCCCCATGGTGAGTGAGTGCGGATCCGAGCCACGCCTCGGGCGCCAGAACATGTTTCCGGGACCCAGCATGGGCCCACCCCGCTACAGCGACTGGGACAGCAGCATAAGCTCGCTGGCGCTTTTGTCTGAAACCCCGGGCTCCCGTTAGAGACCGGATTGGGCCAGGACACTGCTATTGATACTTGACGATAAGAGTGGGGGAGACGCGGATCTCAAATACACTGGCGAAGGGTGTAAATCTGGAGTAAGTCCAGTCCCTTCCATGGAGTCACTCCGGCTTTACACCCGTATTCCGGAGATCAGAATCCGGGCTCGCTTCTCAAGCTGTGCTTCTCTGCGGGGGGGAGGGGGAAGATACACCCCTTTGTGGTGGGTTGAGCTGTCGGCTTTTGGTAACTCTTCTATTTCCGCTCTGCAGTTTCTTGCTTTGGCTCCCACTGCCAATTCGGTCTGTCACATTCTGGCTGTGTAAATGTCACCCCACCCTCTCCCATCTCAGAACAGCTGAGACGGGAACTGAAGCAAATTCTAAGCCAACGTGGCCAGAAGAGGGGACCTGGAGAGAAATGTGCTAGTAGCTAAAAGTAACTAACGTATGTAGCGCCTCCGGCGCTCCGGGTGCTGTGCAGATAGCCAGGAATTGAGCCTTTTCCATGTCGGATGCTTTGCTCTGCCCTGTGCCTGAGAGTGTGTTGATCTTCACAGTGCGATGCTGGCGAGCAGTGTGCAGTGAGGAAAGGAGCTCGAATCGGGAAACTCTGCGACTGTCCCAGAGGCACTTCTTGTAACTCTTTTCTTTTGAAGTGCTTGTAAAGTACCCCCGCCCTCCCACCTACACCTCGGGGGAACAAACGGACCCAGTGACCTTGCCGGAAAGTCCTACTTGTGCTCACCCGAAGACAGCGAGCAAAACGTCTTGTGGTTTGATATTCAGAGAAAGGCAGTTAGAAATTCTAACGTTCAGCATTTGTACTCTCTTCCTCTGTTTAATTGTGTCGGTCAAAACCTGCGTCTCGCTGTGTAAAGGGGTTGATCTTATATTTGGAAATTGTATTTTTGTATGTGGAATGTCCTCATGAAAACCAGAGCTAGCCAGAGCTTGTACCTGACAGGCCTTTCCAGAAATGAACTGAGGGGGGAACTAAGACAAAATAATATAGCATGTACAAATTATACATAGTGATGTTTTTAGTCTGTTGTCTTTTTGCATTACAACCTATTACATCTGCTTCATGTTAGGGAAATTGTATGGCTACATCACCATTATACCCTAGCAGAACAGTATTGAGACACCTTTCTGTTGAGCAGCCCATTTGGCTGCTATTGCTATCACTGGGAGCCATCGGAGCCCAGGTCTGGGGGTGGGGGGGTGTCTCAGTTGAAAGACTGGAAGTTCTTTGGATGGAGCATGCTCATTGCTAGGGAGTGGGAAGTGCCTCCTTGCTAAATAGCAGCTCACCTGGAGCAATAAGCAGTACATTCCAGAGGGTTCTCCAGTCCTGCTTGGAGACTGGGAACTAGGAACACAAAGGTGTATATGACTGTGAGGGACAAAACCTGAGTAGTCATTAGCAATGCAGAGGAACTTCTAGGTGAAAAACACTCTGGCCCCATATATTCATTCAGTTAACTTAAGTACACACTACACTTTAAGCACCAGCATGGCCAGAGAGTGGTCATGTCTCTCAGGATAGAAGTTAACCTACCCTGAAAATGTAAGGATGATAAACTTACAGTATAATCAAACACTTCAGAAAGTATTGCATGAAATAGATGGGACTCACTGATCTAGTAACATCTTCCTATCTGAGTAATCAATTGCTTTCCCAGGGCTATTGCAGATAAACTGTCTAGTGTCATTACCAAATGACACTTGTTTTAATTATTGAAGGGAACAAAACAAATTACTCACGTATTTCTGTAACAAACTATTGTAAAGCTTCTATTATATGGTTCATGGGTGTCCAATATGTTTCAAAAAGTCATAATGTGTTTTCAACCTTTATTTAGTCTCTGTTAATAAAATAATTGTGACAAGGACAGTGTTTGGAAAAAGCTTTAATTTGTGTTAACAAGCACTGCAAGGGATTTCTTTTGTGAACTGTAAAATATTTTAGCTGCGTTTTGGTAATAGCTACATTATTAATACATTTTGGACCACATTGCGAGAGCTCCTAATTGCAAAAATACTGGTTAATTACCATGATTGTGCACACAAATGGCATAGAGTTCTTCTACCTCAATATGCAACATAATACTTATTCACACTGGCCCTTGACACTATAGAATCAGCAAGTTCCAGAGGCTGGCATACACTCATATATTTATACCAGCTCCTCAGAAAGACTTTACAGACTTTTACCCTTGAACTGGTTGAGTAATGGTATCTTTTAAAAAGCGGAAGTCAAATCCTAGTGCGGAAAATAGAAAGGACCATAAACTTTGTCAAATTAAGTGTAAAAATTATAACAAGAAAAGCCAAAAAGGAGTTTGAAGAGCAGCTAGCCAAAAACTCAAAAAATATAGTAAAATGTTTTTTAAGTACATCAGAAGCAGGAAGCCTGCTAAACAACCAGTGGGGCCCGTGGATGATCATAATGCTAAAGGAGCACTCAAAGATGAAAAAGTCATAGAGGAGAAGCTAAATGAATTCTTTGCTTCATTCTTCACAGCTGAGCATACTGGGGAGATTCCCAAACCTGAGCCCTTCTTTTTAGGTGACAAATCTGAGGAATTGTCCCAGATTGAGGTGTCATCAGAGGCGCTTCTGGAACAAATTGATAAACTTAACAGTAACAAGTCACTGGGACCAGATGGCATTCACTCAAGAGTTCTGAAAGAACTCAAATGAGATATTGCGGAACTATTAACTGTGGTTTGTAACCTATCCTTTAAATTGGCTTCCATACCTAATGACTGGAAAATACCTAATGTGATGCCAATATTTAAAAAGGGCTCTAGAGGTGATCCTGGAAATTACACACAGGTAAGTTTAACGTCAGTACCGGGCAAATTAGTTGAAACTAAAGTAAAGAATAAAATTGTCAGACCACATGGATGCAAATAATTTGTTGGGAGAAAGTCAACGTGGTTTCTGTAAAGGGAAATCATGCCTTACTAATCTGCTCGAGTTCTTTGAGGGGGTCAGCAAAAATGTGGACAAGGGGGATCCACTGGATATAGTATACCTAGATTTCCAGAAAGCCTTTGACAAGGTTCCTCACCAAAAGTTCTTAAGTAAAGCGAGTTCTCATGGGATAAGAGAGAAGGTCCTTTCGTGGATTGATAACTGGTTAAAAGACAGGAAACAAAGGGTAGGAATAAATGGTAAGTTTTCCGAGTGGAAAGAGGTAACTAGTGAGGTCCCCCATGGGTCTGTCCTGGGACCCATCCTATTCAACTTTATTTATAAGTGATCTAGAGAAAGGGGAAACTGTGAGACAGAAAAATTTGCAGACGATACGAAACTTCTTAAGACAGTTAATACCAAAGCAGACTGTGAAGAGCTTCAAAAAGATCTCACCAAACTAAGTGATTGGGCAACAAAATGGCAAATGCAATTTAACGTTGATAAATGTAAAGTAATGCACATTGGAAAAAATAATCCCAACTATATATACAATCGCTTCAGAGGATAACTGAGTTATTCTGTACAGGATAAACTTAAAAAACAACAAAAGGTCTGGTAGCACTTTATAGACTAGCAAAACATGTAGATGGTATCATGAGAGGTACAACTCTGGTCATCTGAAAAAGTGGGCTGTGCCCACGATAGCTCATGATACCATCTACATGTTTTGCTAGTCTATAAAGTGCTACCAGACCTTTTGTTGTTTTTTAAGTTTATATATACAATATGATGGGGACTAATTTGGCTACAAGTACTCAAGAGAGAGATCTTGGAGTCATTGTGGATAGTTCTTTGAAAACATCCAATCAGTGTGCAGCTGAGTTCAAAAAAGCAAATAGAATGTTAGGAGTCATTAAAAAGGGGATAGAGAATAATACAGAAAATATCTTATCGCCTCTATATAAAACCATGGTACGCCCACATCTTGAATACTGCGTACAGATGTGGTCACCTCATCTCAAAAAAGATATACTGGCATTGTAAAAGGTTCAGAAAAGGGCAACAAAAATGATTAGGGGTTTGGAAGGGTCCCATATGCAGAGAAATTAAAAAAACTTGGACTTTTCAGCTTAGAAAAGAGGAGACCTAGGGTATGGCTAGACTGCAGGGGTTTTTCAGGTTACCTCCGGTATCCCATAATACCTTTGCCGCATCCAGGGAATGCATTTGCTCTTCCACTTTTTTTTCTGGAAGAGCAAATGTGCTCTTTTGGAAGCCCATGTATTCCTTGTTCTGTGAGGAAGAAGGGGGCTTTCGAAAGAGGGTTTTTTTTCCCAACATTTGGCTCAGTCTAGCTGGGCCAAATGTTGGAAAAGCCTCTTCTGACAAAAGTATCGGAAAAAGCTACACAAAATGCGGAGCGCATTTTGCTCAGCTTTTTCCAACAAACAGATGTAGTCTACCGTACCCTAAGGGAAGCCAATAGCAGCCTTCAACTGTGGGGACAGTGGGGAAATTGAAACAAGGAACACTGACTATGTACATGAGCTATGAGAAAAGACTGAAAGAATTGGGCTTGTTTGGTTTGGAAAGGAAAAGGCTGAAAGGGGACATGTGAGCAGGTTTCAAGTGCCTAAAATAGTGTTAAAAAGTGGGTCTTTGCCCGCGAAAGCTTATGCTGCAGCTGACGAAGTGGGTCTTTGCCCACGAAAGCTTATGCTCCTACACTTCAGTTAGTCTATAAGGTGCCACAGGACTCCTCGTCGCTTATGCAAAATGTGTAGCTTTTTCAGACAAATGGTATGATAGAGGTCTATAAAATCATGACTGGTATGGAAAAAGTGAATAAGGAAAAGTTATTTACCTATTCCCACAATAAAAGAATTAGGGGTCGCCAAATGAAATTAATAGGCAGCAGGTTTAAAACAAACAAAAGTAAGTTTTTCTTCACTCAGCGCACAGTCAACCTGTGGAACTCCTTGCCAGAGGATGCGGTGAAGGCTAGAATTTTAACAGGGTTCAAAAAAAGAGATAGATAGATTCATGGAAGTTAGGTCCATCAATGGCTATTAGCCAAGATGGGTAGGAATGGTGTCCCTAGCCTCTGTTTCTCTGGAGGTGAGTGACGGGAGGGGTCACGTGAGAATTACCTGTTGTGATCCCTCCCTCTGGGGCATCTGGTATTGGCCACTGTTGGCAGACAGGATACTGGGTTAGATGGTCTGACCCAGTGTGGCCATTTTTGTTTTCTTATGTATGAGTCATATTGGAGCATTGCTGAAACAGGGCAGAGTTAAGGTTGCATTGCACCCTTAATGCCACATTGCCGGGAGTTTTGCTCAACTCAGCATTTTGTTAGGCAGGGGAGGAGTGTCCAACATATCACCAAGCAACCTTGACTCTGTTCTGCCATAGCTTTTTGCCATTGAATGTCCTTGTTCTTCCAAACAGGAAAATATATATTTCTTTTGAGAGTTAGTATCCATGATATAGGCCAGGGGCACGCAAAATATAGTCTGCAGGCTGGAATGAGCCTGCCAAACCTTAGATCCAGCCTGCCATGATCTTCTGGGCCACCAATATCCAGCTACCCAGCAGGACCTTTGGGCAGGCTCCCTGCGTGCCACGCTCCCACACACCACTCAAAGTGGCCAGCTGCTGGGGACAGCGTGAGCATCTCTGTGTGAGCAGAAAGTCCCTGGGGGAGAGGGGAGGGGAGTCCATGCACCGCCCACACAATTCTTGCAGCATCCATTGGCTGGAAACCAGCCAACAGAAGCTGTCTGGCCTGTGTTTGTGGGCACAGACATCTTGCCTTGTCCTCTTCCAGCAAAGGGTGCATGGCACAGAGATGCACATGCTGGCCCCAGCATCTGGCCACTTTGAGCAGTGTGTGGGGGTATGTCAGGCAGGAAGCCCGCTCATAGATCCTGCTGAGCTGCTGTCTGGGAGCTGCCTAGGGTAAGCACCTCCCAGCGAGAGCCTGCACCTCACACCCCACTTGCTCTTGCACCTCAACCCCATGCCCCATGTCACAATCCCCTCCTTCACTCAAACTCCCTCCCAGACCTCATATCTGCTTCAGCATCCCAATCCCCTATCCCAAGCACCTTACTGCATCCAAGCTCCATCCCAGAACCTGCATCTCTTACATTAATATCATGGAAGAGTACAGCCCTTGACTACCTACTCAATTCTTGGAGTAGGCCCTCATAAAAAATTGTTGCACACCCCAATATACTCTCTGGCTATGTCTAGACTGGCAAGGAAAAACTTGCCAGCTGTCTACACTGGCCGCTTGAATTTCCGCAAGAACACTGATGATCTCATGTAAGAAATTAGTGCTTCTTGCGGAAATGCTATGCTGCTCCCGTTCGGGCAAAAGTCCTTTTGCGCAAAAGGGCCAGTGTAGACAGCTCAGATTTGTTTTGCGCAAAAAAGCCCTGATTGCGAAAATGGCGATCGGGACTTTTTTGTGCAAAAGCGTGTCTAGATTGGCATGGATGGTTTTCTGCAAAAGTGCTTTTGCGGAAAAGCGTCCGTGCCAATTTAGACGCTCTTTTCCGCAAATGCTTTTAACGGAAAACTTTTCCATTAAAAGCATTGGCAGAAAATTATGCCAGTCTAGATGTAGCCTTTCTATATATTATGTCCTGCAATTATCACAATAAGTCAGTCATTCTGCCCCTCCACCTGCCCAACATGCATCAGCTGGTGCCCCACCAACCTGCTTTGGCACACATCTCCAGTCCTGCCCCTGACCTGGTCCCTCCTCCTGCCACGAGCAGGGAACATACCTTCACTCTATTGCTGGTCTACAAATGGAAGATGGGGGAGCAGAGTTTGGGATGTGCTGGCAGAGCTGAGGGTGTAGGGGAAGTTGAGGCCCACTGGCAGAGCCATGGCCACAGGAAGGTTGGGGTGCATAGGTATACCTGGGAGCTATAGGGTGGTTGGGGTACTGGAAGGT